GGCAGCCCTTTTAATTCTTGAACACAATTGTCCTATCACCTGAAAGTGTCTAGACTAAACGGTCCCATTTCTTCTTAGCAATCTTTATATGACAAATTTCTCGAGCATTCCTCCCACCCTGTCTCCATCCTGGCTTACCCTCTCCTGAATGCACATCATCTTTTCACTGTTTTTCCCAAAATACTTCCAGAACTCAACACAGTATTTGAAAGTGTTCTGACAAAGACTATGTCAGAACTAGCACCTCTCCACTGCTCTCAATACATCCTAGAATAATCTTAGCTTTTTTTTTTTTTGGCCATCATAGCAATCTGTTGACTCATACGGAGTATGAATGACTCACCTAGGATTGAAAAGCTAGTATGTATCTTCCTGACCCCAAGCCTAGTGCTCTATCCACTCAACACAACTGAGTCGTCTGGTATCTGTGCAGTGAATTAAATTTAAACTGGAACTGTGAGACTCTCCACTTATCCTGTGTGAATGTAATGTCTACAGGCCTCAATCTCCTCATCTATAAAATAAGGGGGTTGGAGTAGTTGGCCACTAATGCTCCTCATAGCCCTAGATTTATGATCATATTATTTAACTTCCCTGGGCCTCAGTGTCCTCATCTGTAAAGGGGGAAGATGGATTATATGGTTTGGGAAGTCCTTCCGGGCTCCAAATTTGTGATCACTACTAAATATCATCTGGTCCCCTTTGGCCCATTGCGCTACCTGTTGAAATATTTCTAGATCCTGTCATCCAACATCTTACCTACCTATCCATCCTGGCTTTGCAAATATGCACACGCAAATTTGCCAAGCATGCCCTCTATGGCTTCACCAAAGTGACTGGCCAAAATTTTGAACAACACAAAATCACTCCATTAGAATTCTTCTTCCAAGTTAATATCACTCCAACAATGGTTATTCTAGTAGCCTTTATCTTGTACTCAGAGATAGCATTAGAGATTTTGTCTAATAGCTTACTAAGATCTAAGTGTGACACTGGGCAAATCACTTAACCCTGTTTGCCTCAGTTTCCTCATCTGTAAAATGATCTGGAGAAGCACAAGGCAAACCACTCCAGTATCTCTGCCAAGAAAACCCCAAATGGGGTCAGGAAGAATCAGATAAGACTGAAAACAACTGAACAACAATGCTATGTCTAAACCACAAATGTCAAATGTGAGGGCTACATGTGGTCCATAACACTCCCAAATATGGCTGTTTTGAACCCAATTAAAATGTAATTCCTATCTGATATGACTTTAAGGTGCTTATGTATTAATAAAAAAGAAATATGTAAAATGTGTGGTCTTTTTAAGTGAGGCCCAGAGGGTACGCTTTTATGGTCCCCAGTTCCATATGAGTTTGATACCACTACTCTAAAGTATACCCCTAATGGTTTATATTGGCTATCCTATAAAAAAGAAGGTACAGTTAATTTGGTTTGACTTTTTTTTTTTAAGTTTTATTGATGCTTTCGGAGTTTTCCCCTGCCACACTTAATCCTCTACTATAAACCCCACCCAAAAAAACCAAACAATAACAAAAGATCACCAAAACTGACCAAACTTGGTTAAGAATTAGAAATTGAAGGGATGTACATCATTTGGGGAATGGCTAAACGAGCTGTGGTATATGATTGTAATGGAATATTATTGTGCTATGAGAAATGACAAGCGAACCAAAAAATTATTTTATAGAGTTAGAAAAAATAATAACACGATTCATTTGGAAAAACAAAAGGTCCGGAATATCAAAGGAACTAATGAAAAGAAATGCAGGGGAAGGTGGCCTAGCTATTCCAGATCTTAAATTGTATTATAAAGCAGCAATCATCAAAACTGCTTGGTACTGGCTAAGAAACAGGGAGGTGGATCAATGGAATAGGTTAAATATGCAAGACACAGTAGTCAATGACTATAGTAATCTATTACTTGATAAACCCAAAGACCCCAGATTCTGGGATAAGAACCCACTCTTTGAAAAAAACTGCTGGGAAAACTGGAAAAGAGTATGGCAGAAACTAGGCATAGACCCAAATCTCACACCATATACCAAAATAAAGTCAAAATGGGTTCAGGACTTAGATATAAAGGCTGATACCATAAGTAAACTGGGAGAACAAGGAATCATTTACCTATCAGATCTATGGAGAACAGAAGAATTCATGACCAAACAGGAGATAGAGAACATTATGAAAAGCAAAATGGATAATTTTGATTACATTAAATTGAAAAGTTTTTGCACAAACAAAGCCAATGCAACTAAGATTAGAAGGAAGGTAGAAAATTGGGAAAGAATTTTTACAACCAGTCTCTCTGATAAAGGCCTCATTTCTAAAATATATAGAGAATTAAGACAAATTTATAAGAACACAAGCCATTCCCCAATTGAAAATGGTCAAAGGATATGAACAGACAGTTCTCAGATGAAGAAATTAAAGCCATCTATAGTCATATGAAAAAATGCTCTAAATCATTATTGATTAGAGAAATGCAAATCAAAACAACTCTGAGGTACCACATCACACCTATCAGATTGGCCAACATGACAAAACAGGAAAATGATAAATGTTGGAGAGATGTGGGAAAATTGGAACACTAATACATTGTTGGTGGAGTTGTGAAATGATCCAACCATTTTGGAGAACAATTTGGAACTATGCCCAAAGGGCTACAAAAATGTGCATACCCTTTGATCCAGCAATAGCACTTCTAGGGCTATATCCCAAAGAGATCAAACAAATGGGAAAAGGACCCACATGTACAAAAATATTCATAGCAGCTCTTTTTGTGGTGGCAAAGAATTGGAAATTGAGAGATGCCCATCAATTGGGGAATGGCTGAGCAAGTTGTGGTATATGAATGTAATGGAATACTATTGTGCTATAAGAAATGATGAACAGGCTGACTTCAGAAAAACCTGGGAAGACTTATATGGTCTGATGCTGAGTGAAGTGAGCAGAACCAAGAGGACTTTGTACAAATAGCAGCCACGTTATGCAATGACTAAGAATGTTAAACTGAACCCTTCTCAGCATTACGAGGATCTAAGACATCTCCAGAGGCCTCGGGATGGAAAATGCTGTCCACATCCAAAGAAAGAACTATGGAAGTCGAATCGTTCTCACTTATTTTTACCTTTGTTGAGTTTTGTTTCATCTTTCTGATGGTTCTCCTATTGGTTTTAATTTTTACTTACAACTTCACTAATGTGAAAATATGTTTAATGGGTATGTAAATGTAAAGCCTATGTCAGCTTGTGCGCCGTCTTGGGGAGGGTGGGGGGGAGAAAAAGGGAGAAAAATTTTCAACTCAAAAGCATATGGAAAAAAAATTAAAAATAAATAAAGAAAAATTTAGAATTAAAAAAAAATGACAAGCGAGATGATTTCAGAAAAACCTGGAAAGACTTAGATGAACTGATGCATAGCAAAGTAAACAGAACCAGTAGAATGTTGTACACAGTAACAGCAATATTGTTCCATGAAGAACTGTGAATGACTTAGCTGTTCTCAGCAATACAATGATCTAAGACAATCACAAAGGACTGATTTTGCAGCATTCTATACATTTCCAGAGAAAGAACTGATATTGTCTTAATACAGACTGAAGCATGCTCTTTTTCACTTTCTTTCATTTTTTTTCTTTTATTTGATTCTTCTTGTACAAAATTACTAATATGGAAATGTTTTATATAACTGAACATGTATCAGCTATATCTGATTGCTTACCATCTCAGGGAGTGGGGAAGGGAGGGAGGGGTAGAATTAGGAACACAAAACTTTAAATAAAAATGTTTAAAAAAAACTGACCAAACCATCAACCTGCTCCAAAAGTGTCTATAACATTCCACTTACATACCCCTCCTCCTCATCAACCTCTCTACCAAGAGGAGAGCTGTGCATTTCATTGTCTGTTCTCTGAAACACATTAGCTGTTGAAATTTAACTGAGTGTAGGCAACTTTTAGCATTGTCTTCACTTGCATCACTAGTTATTGTGTGCTTTGTTTCTGTTTCTGTTGCATTGCATCTGTTCACATAAGGCAAGACCATGATGGAGCCATGCTGATTTTTAGCCACCAATGCTTCTCTTTCTAAGAACTCAAAAACTATTGCTTAAGAACATGCCCTAGAACTTTGTCAGGAACTCTTCAAGCTCTCTGCCTACAGTTTTTGGTCCTGATCTGCTCCTACTTTTTGAAAATCAGAAAAAAAATATCATTTTACTCTCTCCAGTCCTATGGCACCTCTATGTTCTCCAAAGCCTGCTGAACAGAGTGGCTCAGAAATCAAAGCAGTTATTTCGAAACCCACTATGGACAATTAGGTGTTTACTATCTCTATACAAATATGGGATTGCCACCATTTCGTTCTGTCTTTCCTAGCCCAAACATCATTCTCCTTAGAAGACAAAAAATGAAGGAAACTCAGAATCAAGTAAATCAATCTTCTCACTATCATCTGTTATCATCTTTCCATGTACCTGGAGCAGTAGTCCTATCCATTCTTTGATCTTGCTCTTACCCCTAACATACAGTGGGTCCCAAAAGTTTTTCTGCATTTTGAAGCTATTTAAAGCTTCAATAGCTTCAAGCTGCACAAAGACTTTTGGGACATTCTGTACTCAAATACTTTGATGGATCTGTGATCTCCATGCTCGTATTCCTTCCAACAGTGCATATCACAGCCCATCCCTGCCTTCTCATCCTTTGCAACTTTTACCAATGCCCTCCCATAAATCCTCCACAGAATGGTTAGCCAATATACCATGGACAGTTCTCTCAATCTTAACACTGTGTAGGTACATGGACTATCCACTAATTATCCTTCATTCTTGTTAGATGACATTTTCCAGACATACACATCTCAGATCTTTTCTGTAATGTTTCCCAATACAGCATTTGAGACAAAAATTGCCCAAGCTCTGTTCAGTTTTGATGATCTTAACACTATTTTATAGAACCATGTTAGTTTTATATTCATCCTCTGTTACTTACCCTTGATTCCATCTTCAATATGCATCTTTTTGAAGTCTCCACTGGTTGATAAGCTCCCTGTGCAGCCACATCAGTCTCCCCATTTTCCTCCTCACGTGAATCATTTCTGTTTGTGTCTTCTGAATTTCATTGTGGAGAGCATCCCATTCCACTCAGGTTAATTTCCCCTGCAAAGAAGGAAGCTGTTAGATCCTGCGGACCCTTTCTCTAAACCATCTATGAAATCTCTTCTCTCCAAATTGAGAATGCACATCAGACTCTGCTGAAGTTTCCCCTTTTTAGTGAAGATCTCTGTGATGGAGCTGTCTCCATCATTGGCCTCCAAGGTTTCCATCACTTCTGCTCACTCAGCCAATCTTTCCTTATTGAGAATCAAGTTCCCTTTGTCACTTCCTCTTCCTTTAGAAGGCTGAAATTATGGAAGAATTCCCCAATTTCTCACCTACTCTGCTGTTGGCAGTGAGAGTAAGGAAAAATGAAATCAAGAGAAATAGCACTCCTGCAGTTGTATAGATAGTTAAAGCCTACCTCTTGATATTTAGGCTCATAGAGCTGGAAGGGACCTTAGAGACCATCTATTCTTATTTCTTAATTCTTCAGAGGAAGAAACTGAGGTCCCTTACCCAAGTCCACACATAGGGTCCTAGATCTGGATAGATCTAGAAGGGACCTCACAAGCCAGTAATCCAACCTCCTTATTTTATAGATGAGGAAACTGAGAGCCAGGGAAGGTAGGTCACTTGCCCAAGATCATACAAATAGTATACTGAAGTTGGATTTGAATCTGGGTCATCTGGCTTCACAGCCAAGTTTATAATCAATTCCCCAAACTGTCTAATTCCTCCTGCTATCCCAAAGGTCTGTCACATGTAGCTGAGACAATATCACTTCTTTCCATTAATTTCACCCAAATGCTTTCTAGTATATTTCTGCCATTGAATTCTTAGATTTCCTCCCACAAATGTTGCATCTTATTATTCAAAATCTCTTGTCTCTATACCCCCTTTCATCTACTCTGTTCCTTTAGAATAAGATAAATAGCCTTCCAGAGCAATACTCCAATCATGACTCTTATCCAGCCTATCAGATCTCACTCAGGCCTATTGTCAAATTTGCCTCCTTGAATTTGGAGCTCTAATTCACCCTGCTCCTGATTCAGACTTTGTGTATTTGTACATAGACACCCAAGGTCACGAGGTTTATGGTTGGCTGTCTTGGCTATTGTCTCCTGGTATTCTCTTCTGCTATTTGTCTTTCCCTATTGTGTCTGACACACTCCATGGTACTGAGATTGGTGGGATGATCTGAGCAATTTTCTTCCTCTCTTCCTATTTCAGTTTAAAACACTTTCACATAATGTGTTTTTACCAACCCTTTTAGATGCCCCCTCTTACTCCCACCCCCAGCAAAGGAGTCATTCATTTCTGTAATGTGAAGAAAATAAGGAGGTCAAAATGGATGATTGTATATTAGGGTACATTGCTAAGAAAAGGAAGCAAATTGTTTCAATTGTCTCATTGATGTGAAGAATCTTAGGAAACTGAACAATTTGCAAATGATCTATAAAGTGTCCAACTTTACAGGCACTGAAGAAATGTTCCATTATGATGACGGTTAATAGAATTGGAGAAAATCTGATTCTACCTCATCTAAATGGCACTGTGTGACTGGAGTTTAATTAGAGATATACTAGTTACTCCTGTCAAAAGATTCTAGTGAATTTGGCAAGAGGAAAAGAGGCACATGCTAGGTGGCAAGGGAGTTTCTAATTCTAGATTTCTCACTTTAGAGCTGGGTGAACTTGGGTAAGTCAATCCAAATTTCTGGTCTCAGGTTTCTATTCCGTTAAAAGCTGATTACACTAAATGGTCCCTTCCTGCTCGGACATTTTCTGCTCTTATCAGTTCCCATGGGTTTATCAACTCTTCAGCAGATCCTCAAATTGATATATCTAGCTCTAATCTCTCTCATGGAATGCAGTCCTGTACCACATTCCAGCTCCATTACTTACTACCTGTGAAACCACTAGCAATTTATTTACCTTTTTTGCCTAATATCCCTATCTACAAAATGAAGGAATAAAATTCAATGTTTTCTCATTTCATATTCTATAAATCTTATGACACCCACTCCCTACTGGAAGAACATCATGGGATCATAGATCTAAAGACAGAAGACACCTCAGAGACCATCTAGTCCAACTCCCTTCCATTAACAAATGGGGAAATCAATGCTCAGGAAGATTAGGTGATTTGCCCAAGGTCACACATGCAATAATATCCAAAGTAAGATTTGAATCCAGGTCCTCTGACTCCAAAGGCAGTGCTCTTTCCACTGTACTAAATATTTCCATTTAGGGGCCTTATTAGCATCTCAAAGTGACAGTGCCCAAAACAGAAGTTATCAGAAAATCAAGGTGTATGAAGAATGAGAAAAAGCCATAGGAGTAATGTGAAATGTCTGGAAAAGGAATTTGGGCCATATTGTGGAGGGCTTCAAACATTAAGTTAAGGAGTTTGGAGTTTGGCCTAGAGACAGTAGGGAGCTATTGAAGATTTTTGCAGAGGGGATTGATATGGCCTGACCCATGCTTGAGAAGGAAGTAGAGGTAATAAGTTGAACTAAATAACCTCTTGGTAGTTTGGCTGTCAAAAAGAGAAGAGATATAGGCCAATAGCTTGAAGGGACTGTAAGCCAAAGTGGAGTTGAAGACCTGGACAAGTTTATAGGCAGTAGGGAATAGCTGATAGATAAGGAGATACGGAGGCTAAGAAAGAAAGGGGTAAGCTTTTAGAGGGAATGTGAGGAGATGAGATCAATGACACGAGGAGAGGATTTGGTCTTAACAAGGAGAAGAGTCACTCCTCAGAGAATGGAGCAAAGGATTTTGGGTTAGAATTTAGGATTCTATAGAAGTATTTTCTATATAAAGCCTACATGTAGATTTTATATGAAAGTATTTTCAAGTGGGAAGTAGCAGAGAAGAGGGAGGTCATGGCAGATGGTCTTACTTTCTCAACAGGAGACAAAGATTTATGTTGATAAGGAGGGTGGAGGAGTTGGAATAAGGGGTTTGAGGAAAAGGAAGAAGGTTTGTAATAACTGTCACGGCAACTTACTGATAGAGAGTTGATCAGAGAAGATTAAGAGAATTCCCATAAAGCAGTGGGGGATGAATTGAGATTAGATAACACATTTCTAGTGGACCCAGTTTGCATGGTTGTGTGACTTTCTCCTGCAATTTTTAGCAGTCTGGAAGGAGAAGAAAAGGGAGGAGGAAAGTGGTCACCCAGGGACCTGGTTAAGCAAGGCCTGAATGGCAAAAATGATGCAAGTACAAGTGATTCAAAGACAAAGGACATTATATAGTTGAAGTGGTCAGTTACAGAGTCAAGCCTGTCAAGGAAGCAAACTGAGGCCAGAGCACAAATAATAGACTGAGAATCCACAGGGATATAGGGGCCAGAAATCATGGTTAAAGACAAACCCAAAATTTTGAAGGAATGAGGCAGAGGGAGAGATGGAAGGATAGGAAGGCATGACCAGAGAGATGAATTTCAGGGTTTGTCATCATGGAAGTGGTACAACTACAAGTGAAAATGACATCTACCCTTCGCCTTTGTTTCCCCATTGTCTGCCACAGTTCCTGTGCACAGTAAGAAAATAAGAAACGTTTGTTGATATTTTGATAAGAAGATGACCGTTTTCTGTGTAGTCCTAAAGGGAAGTAAAAGTGCAAGTTATTGGAGGTGAACTGAGAGGCCAAGGAGAAAATCCATGTCTATATTGAAGTCTTCCATATTTGGATGGAGAGGACAGTTACTGGGGGATGCTCTCTATGAGAGAAGAGGGAGAATGATCTGGTATCTGGGAAATGCTAGCAGTGGTCTGTCCAATGTGATTAGAGAGGAATGGAGGCAACCTCAATGTGAGGGTGGCAGGGGGAGGATTTGGAGGTGGCAATAAGAAAAAAGGAGCAGGCCTAGTCTTCCTCTTGTCCCTCATGAGAACTGAGGTTCAGCACTCTTTCCACTATTTTATGAAACCAATTGTGGGGTTAATCTGGATTCAAAGCCCGTCTCTGTCACTGCCTTGGCCATCTTGGGCAAGTCACTCCACTTAGCTAGGCTGCAGTTTCTGCATTTGTAAAATGGTGGTAAAAAAAAAATAAGGTCCTTTCAAGGTATGGAGCTATGATCCTACGTGTAACCACAGGCAAGTCACTTCATCTGCCTGGGCCTCAGTTTCCTCCTCTATAAGAGGACTAGCTGGTTTCTGAAGTCCCAGCTATAGAACTGTAAGTGATTTCACCAACCCAAGCCTCAGTCTACTCCTTTGTAAAATGAAAAGGTTGGACTACATAGGCTCTAAGGTCACTTCCTGCCCCAAATCACCAGTCCTTTGCTCATAAGAGGAAGAGGTCTAGGCTAAAAGAGAGTACCTTAAAAACAGAGCACAGCACAATTCAAGAGGAGAGAAGGAGAGAATGGGGACTGGGATAGAATGTGGCTGACCTGAATAGCGATGAGGAAGCTGGGAAAAGTCACAGGGGGAAGGGGGTTTTGCCTCTGCAGACAGCGTTTGCCAATTTTCAGCCTCAGTAGCTTATTTAAATATGGTGGGTTGGAGATGTTGTGATTACATGTAGTGCTTTCTCATCGTTATCCTTCCTTCTAATTTGATGTTAATTTTGACCTTCACTCTAACCAGTTGATGATCTGACTGCATACAGAAAGCTGATTTTGAAACAACTCCCACATCAGTCACCAGTTGTTTGCTGTCTTTTCCAACATAGTCAATTTCTATGTTATTTATGATGTTGTTGTTTGGGGCTCAGCATGCTCCAGACCTCAAAAAAGGCCCTCCAAGCTCTAGATCTAGAGTCCTTTGTGTGGCTCTGGGCAAGCCAATTCCCCTCCCTAGGACTCAGTTATCTTATCTATAAAAGGAGGGGGTTGGATTAGATGACCTCTGAGGTTCCTTCCCACTCTAGATCTACGGTCCTATGTGTGACTCTGGGCAAACCACTTATCCCTGGGCCTCAGTTTCCCCATATGTAAAATAAGGGTGCTGGACTGGATGATCCCTGAGGTCCCTTCTCCCTCTAGATCTAGGGTCCTCTGATCCTTCCTATCAACATCTTTGCATATATCCTGGAATGAATTTC